ATGAAGGGAGATACCGCCGAGGAGCTGAGCCGCATCCACAACGCTGTCACCGCCGCAGTCAACGCACAGGAGAGCATCGGACGTCCTATCAACTCGCATGGGATGGACCTGTTCAACCACCTGGTCGTCGAACTGTTCGACGCACGCACTCGTCTCGAATGGGAGTCAACCACTTCAGACTCCACCGAACCACCACAGAACGAGGCACTTCTCGACTTTATTAGTCGACGAGTATTGACGCTCAACGCCGCACGACCGAGGAGTGTCACAAAGGGACCTGGAGAAACATCACGATTCGCCAAAGCGCACGTCACGAAGCACCAAGGCGCGGATTCACCTCACTGTGCACTGTGCCGTGAAAACCATACCTTGATGACGTGCAAAAGCTTCAAGGCCAAGACTGCGGTTGAGCGGAAAACGTTCGTGGAGACCAACCGACTGTGCTTCAACTGCCTAGGCAATCATTTCTTAGCACGGTGTCAGTCAAAAAAGAATTGCCTCACCTGCAACGCACGACACCACACCATGCTGCACGGGGCATCCACATCAACACCATCCGCTGAGGCCACTTCACTTGCCACCACACTGGTCACTGCACGGCAAGCTAAGACGCACAAGGCCGTCCTTCTCGCAACCGCTCGCGTCAAGGTCGCTGATCGATACGGATCACCACACGAGGTTAGAGTCTTGATAGATCAGTGCTCCGAGGTGTCCATCATCTCTGAGGCTCTGGCTCAGCGTCTTCGGCTGCCTCGAGCTTCAACGGATCTGTCCATCTTCGGCATCGGAGGGACTCGCTCTGGATCAGCGCGTGGCAAGGTCACGATAGACATCACATCTGACGTGACCAATGCCGAGCTTCGCGTGGTGGCCTTTGTGCTGCCGCGCATCTCATTGCAACAAGGCACCGCTCAACGTGAAGATCGTAGCTGGCCTCACATCCACGGACTTCGATTGGCCGACCCGCGCTTCCTGGATGACGATCCTGCGGAGTTACTTCTGGGAGCAGAAGTCTACTCGCTGATCCTCGAGGAAGGCCTTCGCAAGGGCGGATCACGGATGCCGATCGCCCAGCAGACGAGCTTAGGATGGATCTTGTCCGGAGGCTACGACGCCGCAGCACCCGAAGGCCATCGCCGCACGTTCCAGTGCACCACAGACCACGACCTCGCTAACATGGTTCGACGCTTCTGGGAGCAGGAACGCGAGCCAGTAGCTGGGACACCGCTCACCGCCGACGAAGCCAGGTGCGAAGACTTCTACGTGCGCACGGTCACTCGCACGTCCAGTGGCAGGTACATGGTGAGGCTGCCATGTACTTCACCGCCGCCGACATCGCTCAGCGAGACTCGTCGACCCGCAGAGCGCCTCCTGGAAGCCATGGAGCGGAAGGGAGCACGAGATCCTCGCTTCGGTGACCTCTATCGAGATTTCATGGAGGAATACGAGAACCTGCAACATATGGAGGTCAGCACAACTTCAACAACCTGCAGCCCTAGGTGCTACTTACCGCATCACGGGGTCCTCAAGGAGTCAAGCACGACCACGAAGCTCAGGGTTGTGTTCAACGGCTCCCAGCGCACACGGTCCGGAGAGTCGCTGAACGCACACCTCCTCACTGGAGCCAATCTCTTGCCAACACTCGCTGATGTCCTACTTCGTTGGCGTTGGCATCGGTACGTTCTCGTCACGGATATCGAGAAGATGTACCGACAAATTCTTGTACATCCGGAGGATCGTCGCCTGCAAACCATCTTGTGGCGCCACACCAGCTCTGATGACGTCCACGAGTACGAGCTGAGGACCGTGACCTACGGGCTAGCGTGTGCACCCTTTCTCGCCATCAGGACTCTTCATCAACTCGCAGCAGACGAAGAGGCACGATATCCACGCGGAGTCAAGGCACTGCGACACGACTGCTACGTCGACGACGTGGTCACCGGCGCTGATAGCTTGGAGGACGCTATCGACCTTCAGCAGGAACTACGGAGTCTTTGCATGGCGGGCGGATTTCCTTTGAGGAAGTGGGCTGCCAACGATCAGCAGGTGCTCACCGGAGTTCCACCGGAACATCGGCATCAACGCAAACCGCACTCATGGGAGGGAGAGAGTCACGCTACCTTGGGCCTCCGATGGCATCCGCAAGGTGACTGGTTCTCCTTCACCATACGTCCGCGTGCAATCACCGACTTCACGAAGCGACGAGTTTTGGCCGAGACGGCTCGACTCTTTGACCCGATGGGGTGGCTCGCACCTGTCGTCATCAGAGCCAAAATTCTGATTCAGACGACGTGGCTTCAACGGCTGGACTGGGACTCCCCGCTGCCTGATCAGGACGCACACCGCTGGAGGCAGTTGTTGAATCAGCTTCCTCTTCTAGATGACATCCGCATAACTCGCTGGCTCAACACTGGGACCGACCATTCACAACTGCAGCTCCATGGGTTTGCCGACGCATCAGAGCGAGGGTACGCCGCCGTGGTGTACATCCGCAACGCTGCAACAGAGAAAACATCAATCAACCTGTTGATGGCAAAATCCAAGGTCGCACCTGTCAAGCAGGTGTCGTTACCTCGCTTGGAACTCTGTGCAGCAGCTCTACTTACCACGCTCATGCTCCACGTGCGCTCTACTCTCGGTTTGACAACGACGCCAGTGCATCTGTGGTCAGATTCAAAGGTCACGCTCCACTGGATTCAAGGACACAGCACCCGCTGGAAAACCTTTGTCGCCAATCGAGTGTCTCAGATCCAGACCCTGCTGCCAGACGCTCAATGGAGACACATCGCTGGACGAGAGAATCCTGCAGATTGTGCATCACGCGGTGTTACTCCTGACGAACTCATTAAGCATAAACTGTGGTGGACAGGACCTACCTGGCTGTCAGGAGACGAGACTGCATGGCCTTGTTCCGTCATCGAAGCCGCAGAGGAGGACCTCCCGGAGCAGCGAGCCACCAGTTTGGTGGTCAAGGCACCGATCACGGCCGAACCTGACCTCCTCCTCCGGTTCCCGACGCTACAAAGGCTGCTGCGAGTTACTGCATGGTGTCGGCGATGGCTCAATCCGGCGAGACGCGACGTCATACTTGGCCGCACTTTGCATCCGGACGAGCTGGACGTCGCCTTATTTCGATGGCTGCGAGTGGTGCAGGCGCTCCACCTTCCTACGGACGTAGCTGCGGCCTCTGCTGGACGCACTAGTCCACCGCGAAGCCACCTAGCGAGGTTGAGTCCGGTCCTCGATGATCAAGGCGTGCTGCGCGTCGGAGGACGTCTCAAGCATGCTCAGCTACCACTCGACGAAAGACATCCAATGATCATCCCGGCGGCATCATGGTTGACTCGGCTGGTGATTGATTCCTGCCACCGACGGACACTGCACGGAGGTGTGCAACTGACTCTCGGCTTGCTCCGCCTGCGTTTCTGGGTGCCCCGAGGAAGGACCACCGTCAAGCAGCAGCTACACCGATGCGTGACCTGCACTCGATGGCGCGCCGCAACACCACAGCCTCCGATGGGTAACCTTCCTCGGGACCGAGTAACGCCAACTCGACCGTTCCTCAGCACCGGTTTGGACTACGCGGGACCAATCCTCCTCCGGACCAGCAAGGGGCGTGGACACCGTGCGCACAAGGGATACATCGCCGTCTTCGTCTGCTTCTGGTCGAAGGCCATTCACTTAGAAGTTGTCTCGGACTACACCTCGGAGGCCTTCATCGCCGCGCTACGCCGCTTCATCTCCCGCCGGGGTTTGTGCGCTGAGATTTACAGCGACTGTGGCACGACTTTCATCGGGGCAGATCGGACGCTGCGAGGTCTCTTTAACGCAGCGACAGCCGAAGGTCAAAGTGTCATCCTTGCCGCCACCGATCAAGGAATCCGCTGGCACTTCAACCCGCCAGCGGCCCCGCACTTTGGTGGTTTGTGGGAGGCCGCCGTAAAGTCGACCAAGTTTCACCTCCGTCGGGTGATCGGCGAGACCACCCTCACGTTCGAGGAGTTGAGCACACTCCTCGCCCAGATCGAAGCTTGTCTGAATTCACGTCCGTTACAGGCACTCTCAGATGATCCAGAGGACGTCTCGGCGCTGACCCCCGGTCACTTCCTCGTTGGGGCACCGCTCCTCGCCTTGCCGGAACCGTCATTGACAGAGCAGACGGTGTCCCCCTTGTCACGTTGGCGTCATCTGCAGCGGATGAGGGATCACTTCTGGCAGCGATGGTCATCCGAATACGTGCACGGACTCGCCCCACGCACCAAGTGGCTCAAGGATGCACCTGCACCCCACGTCGGCGATCTCTGTCTCGTGCGCTCCGAGATCACCCCTCCGAGCCGATGGCCTCTCGCTCGCATATTGCGTTTGCACCCCGGAGACGACGGAATTACACGCGTCGTGACCATCCGAACGGCCACGTCCGAGCTCGTGCGCCCACTCGTCAAGCTCGTGTTTCTTCCGGGCGTGAACGACGCGCCTACACCGCACATTGACACATAGCATCACTCACTACACAATCATCACATCATGCACCATATCAATTGTCACACATCACTTGTCTCGCTCACCACCGCACTAAAACTCGTCTCATTTTCACCGCTCACTGCATCTCACACTCGCCGTTCACATCTGCCACATGTTTTCGCCGTTCCAGCTGATCGATTCACATCACGCGATCACCACGTGTTTTCGTCGACTCAGCTGATCGATTCGCAACACGCGATCATCACGTGAATTTCACCGCGCCGACGCGAGCCCGCCCCACCATCAATCACCATCGGAATGTGATCCGCGCCGAAATCATCATCAACCATTTGTCACGTTGCGACAAGGCGGGCGGGATGTTTGAGATGCAAAATAATTCTTATCGCCAGTTAAATTATTTCGGCAGTAAAATGTAATTAGGATTTTCATATATTATACGTTTTCAGTCGAGACAAGGTTCGATCTCGAAAATAGTTATTGTTAAATTCTAGAATCTTCGATCGGCAATAATAAAGTCACATTTGTTTGTAATGGAATAAAAAGGAGTCGTAAATTGACAGCTGTCATATAAAAAAACGCTCAAATACACAAACAAGTAACGGTGTCGCAACCGTTCCGCCGAATAATTATATGCTATTGAGCATGCGCCACTTTAAAATCACGCAAAATTATTGGCGCTTCACGCGAGGGTGGGCTCCTCTCCGAAAATGATAAAAGAGGAGCTCACACCCGGTTTGAGGTCTTATCGCTTTCCGCCGTGTACGCATAAGAGTAAACCGCTTAGAAAAACCGCAGAACATTAAATCGACGACCACCGCCTTTTCTTTTGATTTCGAATTGTCCGCTGAAACTGATTAGATTTTGTGTTAATTTTTTGTGCGTTTAATTGTTAAGTATTGTACATTATATTTCCGTAAAGATTCGTATATTAAAAGTTTCTTTTATACTAAAAGTGACTCATCCTTTTTTGGTGTCGTTCGATTCCTCTCACGCAGCGCGTTCGCGAACATATATAATATTGGCATATTATATCTACATACTTTTAGAAAGCATATTTTCTCTCTCTCAAATTACTCGCATACAATTATAAACGAGCAATTTGAAAGAGAGAGAGAGAGAAAGAGAGAGAGAGAGAGAGAGAGAGAGAGAGAGTGTCAGAAGCACGGTCGTATACATACCGTGGTCAGAAGACAAGACAGCATGAGAGAGACGAAGATAATATGACTGTCTGTCCTTGTCTAACTGCACGATTGCAGCTCCATCTATCGCGACATCGCGCAACTAATTTTCTGCTCTGTATTATTCCCAAATGTCATTTCGCACATACACATGTGAATGAAATATTCCAACACCAAGATCTTTTTTATTAGACTTCTAAACTTATTTCTGCAAGCTTACTAATATTCCTTTATGCAATCTTTTGGACGAAGCGGTCTTATTTTGTACGTATAAATTGTGAAACTTTTATACAAGCAAATATTGTTATGACGTGACGCGAGAAGCCAGAAAAAAAACTCGTATTTAAAAATTTTTTGTCTTTTGATCACAAATTGAGACAGCTGCGTACTTTATTATTGTATTAACTTTAATCGTGGAAAAGCATTTGTTATTCTATTAACGCAATAAAAACATCTTGGTGTTGGAAAAATATAATCGTTCGGCCGGTAAAAATAGACCTCCGGCATCCCCTTAAGCTCACTTATTTTAATTTTTAACTATATAATATATATATATATATATATATTATATGTTTCTTTAAATAAAAAAAAAATTTTAAATTAAAAGTAAATATTTTAATCCAAAATTTTATTCTTCTTTTATTCTAACGTTTTGCTCTAATATTCATTTAATATGTATGAATAATAGGAAAAGAAACCCAACAATTATCAAAAGGAAGCACAATACACTTTGCAAGTATATCATGAAAAGGCCATATATCAGATTCAAAAGTTAAATTTTTTACAACATAAATATTTAATTCTTTTGAATCTAGGGGATACTTATATAAAGAATCGTAGGATGTAAAATATTTTCCAACAATAAATATTTCTTGTAGGCTTGTAACAACAATATTTTGAATTTGAATGAGTATATTATTTTTCATTAAACAATACGAATTTGCACTTTAATAAGAATGTGTTGAAATAGTAAAAAAACTATGTTTAAATTTTTTAAATTGCTTATAGAAAACGCTTTTAAATTTTTCAGGTAATGGACTCAAATTATTTTCTATAGCATGAATAGACTGTTTTTCTATTTTAGGTAAATTATGCTCTAATGCTACATTTATTTCGTGTAATCTACGACCAATTTGTTGCAAAGGATAATTAGGAGATTTTATTAAATTTTTAATCTGGCCAAGATAATTCTCGAACGAGAAACATGAAAATAAATCTAATGGCCCATAAATCTGCACATCATCAGCTAAATGACATAATATGTGTACATTATAGATTAAGAATTCTCGGCCGTTAACTGTTCACAATGTTTAACAAATATATTTAACAGTTCTTGTGGAAATGCACAACAATTTTGATATAAATATAAATTTAAAGATATAAGACAGGCAATAAAAGCCAACTCGCGGATGACAGTGCGTTATCCTAACGAAACTAAATTTTTCGTTAGGATGAAGTATCTGTGCACAAGGCATCAAATTTTACTTGGTCACGGCCAAGAGTTTTAAAATATGAAATAATCTCATATTTGAGATTTAATTTCAATAACCCTTTCACCCCCCTACGGAAATAAGTAAATGCAAGAGAAAAATACAGATCCGAAAGTCGCTGAATCGGGAATCGAACCCGAGACCTTTCGCTTGCCGGGCGACTGCTCTTTCAACTGAGCTATTATAAACCGGTACAGTGCGGCCTAACTTTCCTCTCATAGTAAATCGAACATATTTTTGTGCTGCTTTCTTTTCTTCATTGCTAAGCGATAAATAAGATGTACCTATTGTATTTTCATTTACTGATTCATAATTCTGGAAATCTTCAATTAAAGCACGTTCGATTTCTCCTGATCTACGTCGGTTAAATAACTAAATAGACAACAAACAACTTTCTGCCAATGTTTTCCAAGCCTTTAAAGAAAATGTTTGTTTTAATGAGTTGTAACATGTTTTCAGTGTATCATTTAAATAACGCTCTAACATTTTAATATTATCTTGAGATGGTAGTAATTTTGTTGAATGTCTTTTTCTCTGATGTTGAGTTTCAACAGCTGTACGAGAAATAAAAGATGAATAATCTTCTATTAATAGATTTAAAAATTCTTCTGCAAGTTCTCGTTTTTCTTTATCGCGTCTTTTTATCATTATAGTAATACATCGCTTACAGAGTTGTTTTAGCAAAGTACCTAAAGATGTTGCCAGTGATGGAGTTTTAAAGCCAGTTCCTAATTCATTTAAACCTGCTGAAGCTCTAACAGCCCTAAGGCAGTCATCATAATGGTTTGGTACAAAAATTGTAAAAAGATCATCGATTTCATCATTTTGATTCTTCATTTTGAGAAGTAGACGACCAATCTCACGTAATTTTTGTCGAATTATATCATAAAAATGAGAATCTTGAAACTTTTGTTAATACTCGAAATTAGTCTTAAAACAAACTTCTCATTATTTTTTATTACTCATTAATTACTTCTCAAGAAACTGCTTTTAGCGTAACCCAGGAACAACGACGTGGACGTAGCAGTTTTCTGTTCCCTTCGGGGTGCTTGATTAACGTGAGTCCCCTCGCCTCTCACAATTCGGGGTGCTTGAACGTGTGGTAACCCAGCCAGTGAAGGCAAGGTCGAGTGGTGACCCAACCAGTTAAGGCAAGGTCGAGTGGTGACCCAACCAGTAAAGGCAAGGTCGAGTAGTGACCCAGCCAGTGAAGGCAAGGTCGAGTGGTGACCCAACCAGTTAAGGCAAGGTCGAGTAGTGACCCAGCCAGTGAAGGCAAGGTCGAGTGGTGACCCAACCAGTTAAGGCAAGGTCGAGTAGTGACCCAGCCAGTGAAGGCAAGGTCGAGTGGTGACCCAACCAGTTAAGGCAAGGTCAAGTAGTGACCCAGCCAGTGAAGGCAAGGTCGAGTGGTGACCCAACCAGTTAAGGCAAGGTCGAGTAGTGACCCAGCCAGTGAAGGCAAGGTCGAGTGGTGACCCAACCAGTTAAGGCAAGGTCAAGTAGTGACCCAGCCAGTAAAGGCAAGGTCGAGTGGTGACCCAACCAGTTAAGGCAAGGTCAAGTAGTCCCCTTCGTGGGTCGCGGCCTTGCCGTGGCGAAGGGGCTCACCCTTTGCAAGAGGATAGTCTTGCAAGGGGTGCCAACAGCGACCTGTACCTCTCGAGGTACGCTGCCCCCGGTCTTGGGGGCATGCCCTCTGTCTCTGGGGGCTCTCCTTTGGGGGTGGAAGATTTCCACCCCCTGGGGAGACGGGGCCCACTTCCCCGGTAGAGCTTCGGCTCGTATGTGGTAAGGGATGGCGACCCGGAAATCAAACGCCCGGTGGCATGGCACCGTTAGGAGAGGGGATTGCACGGCGTTTCGGCGCTTCCCCTCCCACCATGCTCTGTGGCCCGGTAAGCCTACCGGGTAGGCGGCTTCTGCCGCTCGGGGTTCTCGCCTTCTGTTCCGGGGGGTTTTGCCTGGGGTTTCCTGGGGGAGTCTCCCCCGGTGTCTGGGGTGGGTTCTTTTGGCGGTGGGGGCCGCCGGGGTGGGGAGGTGTGCGAGCCGTGCGTGATCACCCGAGGGGCTTTGCCCGGAGGGTTTCCCGAGGGCCATCGCCCGGAGGGGGTCACGCCGGCGGAGGAACCGACACAATCACCCGAGGGGCTTTGCCCGGAGGGTTGTCCCAAGGGGCTTTGCCCAAAGGGGGCTGTGTCGGTTGGTCTCCGGGGCCGCTCGGACATATTCCAAGGCGGGGCCCGGAGACAAGGATGATCCGGAGTGCTGGTCGGGAGTTCCCAGGCTGGGTAGCCTTTTTTTTTTTTTTTTGACGCTGGGGAAACCGTCATGGTACCACGCACCC